TCAGACGCCACAATTAAAATAAAGTGCAGTAGGGCTAAAATGGCCAGAAGTTTTTCCCACAAGTTGCTGAATCACCTGTGGGGTTGCGCGCCGCGGCGCGTCCGAGGGGCGTCGTAGTCCATGAATTCATGGTATATTTCGATGGAACTACGAAGTGCTATTAACGACATTGTTAAAAGCACGTGATTTTGAGAGATTCCTAACTTAGTTAGTTTTTGATGGTCTCCCTGGGCATCGCCCCTCTTGTTCCTACCACGACTGGTAGGACTTCAGCAGAGCAAGCTGCCCACCTCTGCTGGAATTGAGGTAGCAAGCGGCTATATTTTTCTACTTTGCTTGTAAACCCTTGAGCGAGATTATTCCCGTCTTCGTGGCGGACTGTAACATCGACCACGAAGACCCTTCCCCGGCTTTGTATTACCAGGTCAGGTTTGAGATTCCCGCCTCCGGTTGCCGCCACCGTCGGTTCAACCGTTATTGCCACCTCTGGGCCTTTCTTTTTAAGTTCTTCCACGATGAGGTTTTTGATCTCATCGTGCCTTCGAATCCTATGTGGTTTCGTGTGACGACATTGCCCCAATATGTGTCCCAATGTCTCAATTTGCGAACCACATTGCCTGCATGTAGGATCCGGTATTCTGGTCGCTCTGCTCATGGCCGCCCTGTCAGCACATGAGTTGGTTCTCATCTTGAGGGCTGTAATCATACGACATGGCTTGAGCAACGAGGGGTCCCTAAGCCATGCGTTTCCGATCTGGAGTCGGCGAAGGCCGCTGCCGACTTTCCTTGAGAACCAAGGCGCTTCCATCTGGCAAGCTCAGCCTTCTTTTGCGTTCTAGTATAGCTGGCCAGTTGCTCCCCAGTAACTGGCCAAGCTATCCGGGCATCGAGAGCGAGTCGCCTCACTCTACTCTCGAGCTTAGTGCCCGTGGCAAGAGCTTGCATTGCCGGGTCGGGGTTGTCCACGAACTTTAAGCCGGCTTTTAGGGCTGATGAGGTGGCGAGCCACTCCAACCTCGGGATCGCAAGTCCCCCGTCCCTCTTACCGCAGTATAGTAAGGCGTTCGTTGTTGCCTGCGGCAGGTGAAGAATATTCTTCACCACTACCCGTAGCTCCTGGTCCATCAGTTTTATCTGTGTCATAGCCGGCATCGCTATGGACAACTGATACAGGTAATGAGGAACAATGTAAGTAGAGATTAAGTCTACCTTTTGATGCGGTTTCAACTTCAGTCGTTGCACACGACTAAGAGTTGAAGCAAGGTCGGCTCGTATGCCCTCGGTTGTGACCCCAACCCAGGGAGACAACTTGCATCCAAGGTAGACAAGGTGATCGCCGGCCCCCGCTACCGGTATCACTTCTCCACTGTCGAGTTCGAGGCCTGGGTCAGTTAAGTACCAGGAGTCTTTGGTACGGTTTACACGGAAGGTGCGGCATTTATTGGCAGCAATCTTCATACCTAGACTCGATAGGTATGCTTCCGTGCTACTTAACTGGTCCTTAGCATGTGGTACTGTTTGCGCGACTAGGAGCAGATCGTCGGCAAATGCTAAGGACGATATCTGCGTCTCTGTGTCGATTTTTGTACCCAGGTCTCGTTTCCAGCTTAACTAGCAAGGGCTCCAAAACTAGATTAAATAGTAATGGGCTGAGGGGGTCACCTTGCTTGACCCCCCGCTGGAGGCGTATCTCGATTGGCGCCTGATTCAGTTCTATAATAGTGGTAACATCCTCATATGCATTTTCCACGATACGTACCACCTGTTCGGGAAAACCTTTGCGACGTAACGCGTGTCCTATAGCTTGGTGCGGCACGTATCAAATGCTTTGGACACGTCCAGCTGCGTTACGACCAGGCCATTCTTGGCTTTTGAGTGCCTCAGCAGCTCATTGAGGATGTGGATGTTGTTGAAGCACCCAGATTCGTTCATGAAGCCCTTTTGTCTGGGTGAGAACCGTGCTTTTGCCCTAAGTTTGCTGTCAATAATGCCAAAGTAAATTCTCGACATTAAAGAAGAGATTGTAATTGGACGGTAGTTTTCAGCTAACATACCGTCCTTACCCTCTTTAGGGATCAAAGTAGTTCGGTTCTTCCTCCAGGCGGTAGGAATCTTACCGCTTATCATGATTAAATTGAAAAATAACTGGAGGACTTCGTTTGCACCAGGAACGCGTTTAATGTCTCCCTTTTTAATACCATCGGGACCCGGTGCTGTGGACATTTTCATCCGAGAGAGACGCGTATTCACCTCTTTCGCCGTCACGGCGGTTAGCACAGTACCTAACCCAAGTGCCGGTTCGGAGGGCTCTCCCAGGAAGGGCACCTGTACTTCCGACGGATTTGTGCCCCAAAGCTTTTTGTACAGGTCCCGCACGTCTTGGGCTGGAGCTTTTACCCCTGGTTCCTCCAGCCAGTCCACGTTGTTACGGACGTGCTTGGCAAGAATGCCTGGCTCTTTTTTGTAAATATCCTGGGTACGGGCGTAGAGGTACCGTCTGTTACCCCTCTTATTTTGTCCTCTACGCCTTCCCTTTCGTCGCCCTGCAACTCCCCGCTCCTCGCTGACGAAGAGAGCGGTGACTCTATCATGTAAAGTATCTATTTGCGATTGGGGCTGCCCCATAGGCAAATCGCAAGCCTCGGAGATTGCATTTCTAAGCAGCTGGGTGACCGTGTTCACCTCCAGATGTTGCTGTGCCGCTCGAGTCAACTTGCAGCTACGGGCAGTCTGAGCAACATCCTGTCTCCAAAGTATCTCTTCTGGAGAAGCTGCTGGCGATACCAACTCATCTCACTGACATTCAGTACCCTCTCTGACATGTCAGGCGTCTGAGTCGGACTTATGTTTTCGGCGGTGGGGGTGATATTATTAACGTTATTTTCACCCCCTGCAATGGCAGCTACTGCTGATACGTCGAGTAGCTCCGGGACTGGGATAGGGGAGCCACCCCCTACTCCCGCTTCCTCGCAGCTGTTGGTTTCGGGCGCTTCTTCTTGGGGGACGGTAGCTCTACCATCCCCTGTGTCTGTGGATACTGGTTCTGTACTGTCATCATCAGTACTAGCGCTCGCTGTGATCCCTCTTTCTGCGAGGTACCTTTCACGCCGTTCTTTGTAGCATTTTTGGGCCCTTTTGTCCCGGAGTTGTTTCAAAGTTTTCTCTGGTATCAACTCCCGCATGCGCATTGCTATACGCAACTCACCCCGGTACCGGAGTTCGCACTCCATCATTATTTGTTCCTCCTCTTCAGTAAAGATAACCAATCTTCTTTGTCGAGGAGACCGCCGTGTACCCGCTGCCCTAGCTTCGTTTCGGGTGAGTGGATGCCGGTGCCGCTGGTGCTGTGTTAGTGCACCGCGGCCGGAGTACCTTTCGCCGCAATCGGGGCAGGCCACGCCTACCGATTCGGGTATAGGCCTGTTACTTGGTACTCCGTCAGTCTCTGAGTCTGTTGACTCTGGAGGTGGGGCTGCCGCAGCAGCTCCCACCGGGCACTTGGGGACGTGACACAGTGCCGCATGTTTTGCTATATACATTTTTGAGCACATCCTGCATTTGAATCTGATTTGTATATCCTTGTGATCAGATTTTACATGTTTTATTTCATCATTTAAGGTCATGTGCAGGATGTTAATGCTTCTTTTGAGGCATAGGGGGCATGACCTTTCTATAAAGAGAGTCATAGTTACTCCCGCCGTTTACCCGCGCTTGCTTGAATTTCTTCACGTTGACATTCAGAGCACTGGGCAGAAATCACATTGAGTCAACACCCGCAGGGGCCATCTCAATGCTTTGTTTAATTAGACAGTCGGATTCCCCGTCCGTGCCAGTTCTGAGCTGACCGTTGAATGGCGGCCGAAAGGACACCAGAACGCCCTTGCGAGCGCACTCTGGCCTCGCAGCAAGACGGTTCCGCGGGAGGCCAAGGCACGGTACCGAGTTCGGATCCGCAATCCTACCGCACACGCGCGAACGCATACGACAGAACGTTTCACCTCGCCCAGGCCCGGCACGTCAGCCGCGAACCGCTTCCTCGCCAAGCCCGACACGCCCCGATCCTCAGAGCCATCCTTATCCCGAAGTTACGGATCCAATTTGCCGACTTCCCTTACCTACATTATTCTATCGACTAGAGGCTCTTCACCTTGGAGACCTGCTGCGGATATGGGTACGAACCGGCGCGACACCTCACGTGGCCCTCTCCCGAATTTCAAGGTCCGAGGGGAAGACCAGGACACCGCTGCAACTGCGGTGCTCTTCGCATTCCAAACCATATCTCCCTGCTAGAGGATTCCATGGAACTCGAATGCTTATGCAGAAAAGAAAACTCTTCCCTGGTCTCCCGACGGCGTCTTCGGGTCTTTTTGGGTTACCCCGACGAACTCTCTTGCGAGGGCCCGACTATTGTACGGTTCCGCTGCCGGGTTTCGGAATAGGAACCGAATTCCCTTTCGCCCGACGGGCGTGTTCTTTATATATACACACACATACATACATATATTTATAAACACAACGCCACATCAACTCGGCTTTCGCCTAGGGCTTAGGATCGACTGACTCGTGTGCAACGGTGTTCACACGAAACCCTTCTCCACGTCAGTCCTCCAGGGCCTCGCTGGAGTATTTGCTACTACCACCAAGATCTGCACGACGGCGGCTCCAGACGGCCTCACGGCCAGCCCTTCTGCGCGCACCGCCGCGACCCTCCTACTCGTCAGAGCTTCATGGCCGATCCGTTTTTACGCGGATCGAGACCGCACATGCCGCTGACGGCCGAGTATAAGCACGACGCTTCAGCGCCATCCATTTTCAGCGCTAGTAACTTCGGCAGGTGAGTTGTTACACCCTCCTTGGCGGATTCCGACTTCCATGGCCACCGTCCTGCTGTCTTAAGTTACCAACGCCTTTCATGGTATCCCATAAGCGTCGATTAGGCGCTTTAACTCGACGTTTGGTTCATCCCACAGCGCCAGTTCTGCTTACCAAAAATGGCCCACTTGGCACGCTGATTCGATTCTTCGCAGCTTCATTAGTTCGAGCAAGCCGGAGATCTCACCCATTAAAGTTTGAGAATAGGTTGAGGTCGTTTCGACCCCAATGCCTCTAATCATTCGCTTTACCGGATGATGACCTCGTCACAGACGAGCGCCAGCTATCCTGAGAAACTTCGGAGGGAACCAGTACTAGATGGTTCGATTAGTCTTTCGCCCCTATACCCAGTTCGACGATCGAT